ACTAAATGAACTACAAATGCTAAAAATTAAATCATAAAAAAGTGTAACTAACTTATTGTGTTGTTGGATTAACCTTAATTATTACCTCATTTTGGTTTTCCTATCTTATAGATGATTTGCATCTCCACATTAATTAGTATTGGACTCTGATGTAAGTTATGATCTAATTAAATCAAATTTAAGTGAGGGGAGAAAAATCCACTCACATCCATCAAAACTAAGATGAAGAATAGCAAATTTTTGCTATAAAAGAAACAAATTACAAAGAAAATAGTATTCTACCTTCTACTCTTGTTTGTAGCTTTTTTGAATTTATCGCACTAAAGAGATGGAAAACCAACAACTAGAAAATTCAATTCAAGAGCTATTATTTGTTGAGTTACCAAATGAGACATTGCAATTGCCGCAACCTTCAATACAATATAATAGAAATGAAGATTCTCAAGAAAAACATATCCTTTCTCAAATAGATGACAAAATACAACATGTTTGATATCATGATCTTTGAAGAAATTTTTAATATTTGATAATTTTATTAGAAGTAAGAATAACTCTTGACAGTATTTTAAATGTTTTATTTGAACAAAGTTATGAAGGCATCATCAACAATCAAATAATAGAATAGTCTTTTTACCCTAGTATTGCATACTATCAATAACTGAGAGGATCTATCAATAATCTTCAAAGAGAAGAAAGATCAAGATATGTAATAAATATAATTTGTTACATCTTGGATTTCTTCAACATATGATGACCGCTCTTCATAGATCTCGTCCCTAAAAGAAGAGGTAATGTCTTAAATATACATATTTATTTTAATAATTACTTATATGATTGGTAGGTAAAAATAAAATGATTTCATATTATCTTTTAGAAAAGCTTTTTAGAAGCTTTACAGATGCTCCTTTGATTTTATACATATTTGTAATTAATTAATAGGCTAAAATCTTATTCAACAAGTTAGTCACATGACATACATATTACTAGTTTATGGAATAAGTTAACTATGTAGCTCACATATAGGTAACTTGCTTTGCATGATAAATCATGTGTCTAGCAAAGTCAACATGTGTTGGAGGTCCTGTAGAATATCACTTCATAGCTTCTAATTAAAGAGTATATATGGAGGCAAGAGTAAAGCCTTCTTCAATCTTATCAATGCCTTTTTAGTCCTTAGTCTTATTTCAAGACTTTTTATTCTTTTTGTCTCTAGCAATAATCATTCTAGTTCAATATATTACCATCTTTGTGTGATTTCCTAATCATTTTGAGTAACATAAGAGTCTATTGGGATTTTCTTCATTTGAAATTCATATCTTTTACACCAAGATTATCACAACAAAAGAAAAGATACAATCACATCTTCTTCCGCTCTTTAATTTAACATATTAGATAGAAAGAAACTTAGACATCTAAAAACAAAGGCCATAGAATACTTTAGATTTATCACTGTCTAACAACTAGTACTATAGTTTATGATACTTAGGTTTTCACAAACTCACTAAAATAGCACTAAAATAGCATCAAAAGGCAATCTTTATAAGATTCTTGTCTTGACTCGAAGATCTTTTGATTACAAATTTTGTTTTATGGAAAAACAAATAAAGGAACTTGCCTCAACTTAGTCAACAACAAGAGCTTATCATGTGCTTGAATTACTTCACATAGACATGTGCTAGCCACTTCCAATTCCTTCTTTAGCTGGAAACCAATACTTCATCTTATTTGTAGATGATCACAGCAAAAAAATGTGGATCTACTTACTAAAATAAAAAAGTCAAGCCTTAGCAAGGTTTTGTGCGTGGTAGAAAAGCAAACAAGCCAATCCATCAAAATGATGAAAACCGATAGAAATCGAGAGTTTCTCTCCACCACATTCTCAAAGTTCTGCAAAACTCAAGGGATCCTTTGACAACTCAGAAAATTGATCCCACATCAAAACAGGGTAGTAGAGAGGCGTAATCAAACGATTCTTGAGCAAGTTTGGTCCATTCTAATTTTGAGACATGTCTCCACATCACTATGGCCGGAGGCAGCCAAGACTATGGTGTATTTGCTGAACCAACCACCGACCAGGGTGAATTTGTTCAGCTTCTCTCCTGAAGAGAAAATCTCAAGTAAATGGCCTAATCTCAACAACCTCAGGATTTTTGGGTCTCTTTTGCATGTTCACGTAGAGGCTCATGCACGAAATAAGCTCGAGTTAAGATCCACCGTCGGCAGCCTGGTCGGCTACGACAATCAATCCAAGGCATATAGGATTTACCTGCCCTCAGCAAATAAAATAATAGTATCAAAGGATGTCAAATTTGACAAGATGCGCTTCTATCGCATATAAGTTGACATCCAACGTCTTCTCTCAACAGAATCTGATCCAGAAATGAAAATCCCGAGGCATGATCCAAGTGGTCCTGAAACTAAACATTATTACCAAAAATAGTGTGTCCGCCAAAAACAACAATACCAGCAAGCTTGGTGTAGCAAGCCAGCCCCATGCTCCTAAAAATTAGATCCAGGAAATTAGTGGACTGCATCGCAAGCAGCAGCCACTACAGCCCCCAGATCTAAGACTGCATGCATCTCCCAATCAATACTCTACAAAACACTCCGTTTTCACCTCCAAAAAGAAAGTAAACTTGATGGGCTTGGACATTAGTAACAACCAGCAAAATCCTGAATAGATCTGTGATACTAACGACAATCTTCGAGCACATCTAGTTTCGGTTTCTAACATTGAACTTTCTTTTGGTACAATTGAACATCCACGGATCCTACCCAGTTCAGGATAGACAGCACCAAAAACAACCACATGTATGGCTCAAAGACCACTACGCTACAATCGCCTTGAAGATGCTTGGCGCTGTCCGAAATGAAGACAGTCAATCCAGGACAAATATGATTCAATCATCAAAAACAAGGTATGGTTTTTCACCACTCTCCCTCCTGACAAACATGCCATATCTACATCGTAGATATTTAAGGCAAAAATAAACCTTGAATGAGAACTTTAGAAACGGAAATCTCAGCTTGTGGTGTGAGGATACGAACAGCAAGAAGGGGTGGACATGGAGGAGATCTTTGCACTTGTGGTTGCTTGGAAAACCATCCGCTCATTGTTAGCCATTGCTTCACAAAAGGACTATACCATAGCCTATATAGATATCATAACAGCATTTCTACATGGTCCGTGCAAAGAAGAGGTATATGTATTACAACCAGAGGGCTTCCAAATTCCTGGACATGAACACTTAGTCTACATGCTCAAAAAAGCGCTAAAGTTACGATAGGCTCCTAAGTTATGGTATAAAGAAGTCGACAATTTTCTCAAAGAAATTGGTTTCAAGCCAGGCATGGGCGATCTAAATCTATACAGCAGAGTGGAGGATAAAAATATTGTTTTGATAGCTTTGTACATCCTCCTCATGGTTAGCTCCACATCTACCATCAAAATTTTGAAAGCTAATCTAAATAAGAAATTCCCTATGACGGAACTCTCAAAAGGTGACATTATGATATACTTGAAAGCAAAGAGCATTTGAGTAAACAACGGTACTTTTCTTACTCAAAGAGCATATGCAAGAAAGATACTTGAAGCATATGGTATGGCATAATGTCAACCTGCACCCACTTCCATAGACGAGAAATGTAAGCTCGCAGTGAACATGGGGGAAGAAGATTGTAATCCCACACTTCATCAAGGGCTAGTAGGATCTCTACTTCATCCCACTATCACCCGTTTTGATCTCAAGTTCTCAGTTGGTGTATGTAGCAGATTTATGCATCATCTTCAGTTACATCACCTCCTAGCCGCGAAGAGGATCCTAAGATACATAAAAGGCAGCGAAGATTTCATGATGCTTTTTACAAGAAAAAAAAGGGTGTGTTACACGGATACGAAGATTCAGATTGGGCTGGTGACTCACATGATGCTCAGTCAGCTATTGAATATATATTTAGACTAGGAAAATCACCTATAACATGGAATTTAAAGAAACAACCAATTGTTGCCCCTTCATCTCCCGAAGTAGAATATCATGCCCTAGCCGAAGCTGCTAAAACCGCACCCTAGTTATACACTCTCTTTGAGGACATGCACTTCAATATCAAGGGACCTACTCTCATCTACTGCGACAATTTACATTGTATTCAAATGGCCATTAATCTAGGGATCAACTCTCGCACCTGCCAAGTTGCCACACACTACCACTTCACTTGTGAAAAGGTTCAGAGTGGAGTGTTAGTTCTAGAATACATTCCGACTACTGAACAGCCGGCAGGCCTGTTTACTAAACTATTAGGCCGTTCATTATTTGAATAGTTTAGAAGGGAACTAAAGCTGCTACGCATCTTGAGCCTAGTACCTCTGGACACCTCCTCTCACAACTCTCCATCATGATAGGGCTTGTCCGTAGTAATGAGACTTTTCTGGAATCCCGACTCACAGTAATTCGAGCCAAACTTACTTTGTTCAGAAAACATAGTAAATTATTTCATTACAAGCTTAGATGATCTGCTCACTCGACTTTGAAATCGAACTGCCTCAGACTCCGACTTTACCAACTCAACTCAAGATGCTACAACGCCTCTACTTCTTCGATCGTCACTCCCTGGAAGGTCTAGATTGTATGCGGTAATAGTGGTACGTAGACCAGGGACTTACTCCTTGAGGCATGAATGTGAATCCATGGTAAATTATTAGAAGGGTGCTAGATACAAAGGCTTCAGAACAATGAAGATTTTCTTGTTTAGAGCAGCACTGTCTTTGAATGATTCTGGGTGTCTAGCAGTTACGGGGTGGGGGGTTTTGAATGTCACCCCCTCATTGTTCCCCATAGATTCGCACCATAGGGAACGTAGGAGTACTTCTTGTATTTCCACCGGTACTTCGCTGTTGTCCATCATCGGAGTATGAGCCTGTAGGGGCACGTTTGTGTTATTTATTATTATTGCTTAAGGATCATTAGTATGTCAGGCAGCAGAAGGAAGCAGCACGCAAGGGGTAAACTTCGACGCCAAAGAATCAATAAATTATCGCAGAAGATGTAGCGTTGATCGATGCATGAGGATCGCATCAACCCCTTCAGACAGCAGCTTACACTGATCCCTCCGTCCTTAATCATGTAAATGCTTCTGGTCTCACCTGACTCCTGTTAACTACACTGTGCGCTCTCTAACCTTACATTTCTTTTTCTTCTCTATACACACGATAAATTGACACCATAGATTGCAGCGTTCAGGGTGAGATTACATATAAATATTCTATACCCTAAATTACAGACACTCTTCAATGTAGTCTCATTGAAAAAAGACGATGTCTGTTGATCACTCGAAGTACAAATCCGCAACTATTGATTTCGTTGCAGAGCAGCCAAAGAGAGTCGTGGCTGAAGAAAGCTACTCTATGTGCGCTGTGGGATCGAGGATGGACACAGTCGATGTTTGATATCCGTGAGAACACATGCTTGTAAGTCATGATCTGAAGAATACTACCTCAAGGGAAAGTAAACCCGCCCCCACCAGCAGCAGCGGAACCTTGAGGAGGGCTGATATAGACCCACATAAGGGAGATGATGACGGAGAGGAGTCCTGACCAGACGTAAACAATGGTCGGAGTGCGACCGCGGCGACCCATGAGTCCTTTGGCAAAGGGGTAGAGATGAGACAGCACCCACAGAGAGAAGAAGACGCCCCCAATGAGCTTGCTCCACTCTGGGATGGTGCTGTAGATCTGTCGAGAGGTTCCCACTGCTATGGCCACAGCATTGGTGATCATGATGGTGATGGGGGGAATCATAAGAGCGCTCCACTTCACCACGTATAAGTCTGCGAACTCATCCCCTTCCTCGTCCCCCCCAGACTTTGAGGTGAGCGTGAAAGAGATATCGACACCGGCAATGACCTTCAGGAAACCTTGGAACACAGCTGCTAAATGGGCACTGGTGCCACCAATCACCCAGAATTGCTCGTTGCGCCACCATTCCTCTAGGGTGATTCCCGACCACTTAACTTCTAGAATGGCGAGAAGGCATAAGGTAACGGTGATGGTGAGGAGGTAGACGAGGAAGGTGATGTTGAGCTGGTACACGATGAATTGGCCGGAGAAGAGGGACAGGGCTGGGAGGAAGCAGTACACGACCAGAAATATGGACGTGAATGGATAGATACCAACGTTCAGATACGCAATCCGTTGCAAGAATTTCAGCCGCGGGCTTGCCAGGAGCGCATTGTTGCGTGAGAAGAAGATCTCGACAGACCCTGTCGCCCACCGCAATACCTGCACATGTTTAATCCCCCAATGTTGAAAACTTAAACCATATACTTGTTCACTTTGATACTTCAAGTACGCTCTTCTTATCACAAACATTAGCGGGTAGACGTTACCATATATAACGTTCCAGCAATGTGTCAAACAACCTCGAGAAATTCGACGCTGCGTAGAACATGGTAAATTGCTGACCTGGTGCAATCGATCAGTCAAGTTGATGGGAGCAGTTCCACGAAAGGCATCACGCTTCGTGACGCAGTATATCGAACGCCAGCCACGGTTGTGCATTCGAAACCCAGTCACGACATCCTCTGTCACAGACCCATAAATCCACCCGACACGCCCTCCCCACTCCGTCTTATCTTCGTAGAAACATGAAATGACATTGATGGCCTCAGCGACTGTAGTTGCGTCCAGGGGTTCACGCGGAAGCGTCAAGGCACCCGCTGGCCGACCATTTTGTACCCCATGGTCTTGAAGAGGTCGCCCTTGGAACTGGGCAATTGGGATTGACGCAGCAAAAGTTGCCGAGTCCCCGTACCTCTTCGGCAACATCAAGGTCTCGATGGCGTCGTCCTCGTCATCACTAATGCCATTCAAGGTCTGTACCTCTACCTCCCGTTTCAAAGCATGCTTCTTCTTCTTGAAGCAAGAGAGCGTTTCCCAACATCCTGGACGTGTTTTGTACCTGGGTGGATCAAATCCGTAGAGCGCAATGCGCCGAAACACGCATCCCGTGCCAACGTACACGGGCCCTTGGAGCCCATCCAGCGCCCTCATATTGACGTCGAAGAAGACTGTATTGTGATTGGCATACCTGTCATTCGGATCAACGCCTTCGAACCGCTGGGGGAACTGAACGTAACACAAGCGGTCGCCGCCTCTGTCCATGAAGAAGCACATAGCCTCTCGCAACGCAAGAGAGTTGTAAATATAATGATCGCAGTCGAGATTCAGGATAAATGGCCCGTTGGACATGATGGCGCTTGTTCGTACGAGAGCATTCATAGCGCCGGCTTTCTTATTGTGATCGTATCCGGGACGCTTTTCTCGAGAGACATATACCAACATGGGGAGGCGGATATCGACGTCTGTAGTATCGATAATGTTCTCCTCGTCGGCGCTTCCCAGTAGCGGCTCATAGGTAGGTGGGGCTAGCATCACCTGCATCGTACATCAATTGTTTTGACAGTCAGATGACAGCATTCAAATGTAGCCAAATTTGAGTATCTGGTGTTTTTGTGAAATTTCTTTCTCAGATTTCGAAGGTACCTGGATAATGCCCGCATGATCACCACGCCCGTGTTCAGCTCCAGAATGTGACCACGTACCAGGCCAGTGTGTGCCATCGGCCATCCAGGTGGCTTTCAGCACTTTCAGCGGCTCCGAAGGATCACCCCCGGATTCGATCTGAACTCGTTTGGCACGAAGCTCCTCATGTGCATTGTAAGCATCTGATCGCCTTCGAATGGCATCCGGGAGGCCGTTGATGCGCACCTTGAATTCATCGTACTCCCGTTTAACTCGCCGGCGGTCTTTCACGAAGTCGGGGCGCAACTTATTCTTTGTAGGGTCTCCTTTCAAGAGGAAATATGTCTCTGGGTTACGAGGCTCGATATTGTGTTTGCGGCAAAACGGGACCCAGATTCGAGAGAAACTCGCAGCTTCGGCTAGAGCTTCAAATGACAGCAATGAACCGCCATCATCAGACAAGTAGCAGGAGAGCTTTTCGAGAGGGTAATCAGCAGCGAGAATTGAAAGGATGGTGTTCCCGGTTGTGAGCGGAGGCTCTTTCTCCGGGTCGGCTGAAGAAACGAACACGTCTACTCCGGGGAGATCAGAACGACCGTCTGGATTCTCAGGTGATGAAAGCTCGAACTTTTCCTTAAGAACTTGGAGGTCCGTCATCCTGTTAATGGGGCACAATTTTGGCAGCTGGTCGAGAATCCAGGAAAACGCGAACCAAATCTCGCACACGATTGACATTCCCCATAGCCACATTGCGTCGGGATTATTGTGCTTCACGCGCCATGTTAAAAACAAGCCCAACACAACCATCCGAATCAACACGAGAAGCCTGCACAGAATTTAAACTTCGTGTCAGGCCATCCATACAAAATAGTCCACGGATTTCATGACAATCATCACGCAAGTTGATACTCAAATTATGCTTCATAGTGTCTGCATTAGAGAGCAGCACTCTCTGACCTGTACGGGCTGAGGATTCCAGGAGAGATGGATATTTTTCTAGTGAGGGGCTTCTTGGATTTGTCAACAAAGGTGGCTGGTGCCGCTCCCATTCCAGAATTGCCATTCTTAGAGTAGCCATTATCTTTAGGCCAGACCGCATTGCCATATCCATATGTGCCCTTTGTCTCGTACAGCCATCTGGAGGTATCGAAGTCGCCATTGGAGTTTTGGTGCATTAGAAGACCACCGGGATTGTTGGTTTTCAAAAGGGATAATCGTCTCTCCATTCGAGTGGGATTCATGCTCAAGGAGGTAGTTAAGGAGCGAAAGATTGTGGGGCGGGACGATTCATCACAGGTTTTGTAATCGTCCTTGCAGCCGGGGCATTTGGGGGAAGGGGACGCTAGAGCATCCAGATAGCAGTCGCGGCAGATACGAAAACCACACTCGCAGGGGAGCATCTCCTCGCCGCGTTCGTCACGGAGAGATTTGCCATCGCAGCCATGTACAGAACATGACATTCCCCTGGCGCACGCCAACTGGGGGTGATGAGCTTCAAGCTCCATCATCTTCTCCATCACATGACCCCTAGTAACGCTGTTAAAGCCGCCTGTGAAGATTGTACTGGAGACAAATTGTTGCTCGGCTTTTCCAGCCATAGCAGGGTCCATGGGCCTCACGGAAGGAGTTGTGCCGGACATGCTTCCCGACATGCTCTGGAAGTCGGGAGTGGCGGGGATTTGTACCGTGTAGGCAAATTCCGAGCTTACCTCTCCCCCCATTTCGCTCTCGTCGCGGGACAGCGACAGATAGCGCCCACTTGAAGTCCGTCGCGTATGTCCGGATGAGGCTGGGGAACTCGACCTCTCCAGCTTGGGGCTTGACCCCCGTGGAATGCTGTAGTTACGGAACGATCTGGCTCCGGGTATGGAAAGAGACGACCCCGGCGACGTCATGGCTGCACATTATGCAGGACCACTCAGTATTGGCTTCTCATACTAAAACCATGATTGAGCTAACAAACTACCCAAAACGCACGTTCATCAGGTCAACGCGGGCTTGGTAATGCAGCTGCAGAAAAGGCTCGACCACTAAACATCTGCTTAACAGAGGAACAAGAAACATACAGTGAAGCTTTGCAAATACAACTGCAGGGATTTCAACAGAAACTCAGGCACTGCTCTATGTACCTTGGCCATAACCACCATGAGGCAAGTGCTAAAACACCAGTCATCAGCACAGACCCTATCATTTCTCTGATACTCCGAAACCAACACACCAAGATACTGGCAGAAAGTCCACCGACCATTAACACTAATTAAGAAATTTTCAGTAGCACGTTCCCTTCACCAGACCCGGACCGTCTAACGCACCTTCAGGACTCAAACGCTCCAAATTCCCGCAACGCGTCACACCTTCACAACTCTCATCGCCAGCTATCACAGTCCACAAAAACGCACACCTCGCTCATCGCAAACCCACATTCCCACATGGGTCCCCGTATCGCCTCAAGCTCCTCACTCTCCTGGAAAGAAATGCCAACCGACCCCAAGAAGCGGGCTCAATCGCCTTAACTCCACACCAGGAGAGGCGGTGAGACGACGAAGAAGCTGAAGCACGAGTAGTGTGTGCGAGTGATTCTCGAAGCCGAAGGGGGGAAGTTCTTGACTACAGCATTGTGTGTGAAAGCTCCAGGTCGCAAGAAGGAAGCGTAGAATACAATACGAATTCTCCGTCTTCGTATTGTATAGGGCGTATCGTATGCGACGCGCGAGAACCGCCGCGCAACGCCAGCTCCGTGTATGAATGCAACCGCCGTGCGATGGAAGTTGCCGTTTTCCGTTGGCATTTCAAAGGGACGTTGAAGTTGTAGTGACCGAAGCCTTCACAACGGCTAAATTTAGGATCCATATCTTTGGCTCTTTGAACGCCGTTTGAAAGAGAAACTGATTATGTTCTGGCCGGAACGAACTCTTCACACACGAATTTCAGAAGGTTACCAAATGAAAGAGTATGGAGAGAATGTGGCATTTCCAAGCTGGCAGCGGCGTGTCTAGGTAGACGCAACCCATGCTTGCTGACAAGCACTGAGTTGCCACAGTGTACAGTTCCCCTCCACGTCACGCACTGCTATTTCCATGATCTTTGTTCGTGAGCCCGGGCTGGCGACTCATGTTCTGGCATTAGATAGGCATGTTCTGCATGGAAACAGCCTTGCGTACCCAAACAATTCAAACCGCGTCTGGTTCCCAGGCGTATGTTCTGCCAGATGGTTGTGCCCCTGCTTGTTCCCTCCTGGGGAATTGTACCCGCCACTGCAGAACGATTCACAACACACAGGATTCCGTTGCAGAGTAGTGATTGGCGGGTGTGTTCCCACATGGGAACGAGCTTGTCTGTGTCCGGATTTGAATAGAAGGAAAGTTACTCAACTGTCGATGTTTTTGAATGTGTACAGTGTTGGGTTTTTTTTTTTTTTTTTTTTTTTTTTTTTTTGCGTTATGTATTTAAAGTTCGAGCGATTCTGAAGTAGAAAAGGACACATGATTTTGAACGGATGTTCAGCATAAATCGTAATGCTAACAATGTGACTCAGAATCACACTAACATATCCCATTCAGTCTGCCCACACAAATTATTAATAAAAATAAAAATAAAAATTTAGTTGATGAAAACTTTGGTACTTAAGTTTATTAAAATCATGAAAAAAAAGTTTAAAATAAATTCAAAATACCCACAATTGAAAACTCTCGATCTTTTTATCTTTCTCTTTTTTTTTCTTTTTTTTTTTCAATTAAGAGTTTATGCTACAAATAAATGTAGAAATAAAGTATTTGACAAGTTTTAAAAAATGTAATTTGTGAAAAAGACATTAAACAACATATGAATATTTTGTTTTAATTTAACAATCTATGAACAAAAAAACTTTCAGTAAAAGCAATCAGTTCATATATTCAAAAACGTTTTTCACATAATTGTATTGTAAAACAATTTTCTACGTATTGAGGCCTACTATTCTGATGTTTCTGCGATTTTTAATATTTTTTCATAGATTGTGGTTGTTTGGTCTTTTATTCTGATGTTGTTGTTGTTGTTGTGATGGTGGTGATGATTGTGATTATTATTGTTATTATTATTATTATTAAATTTGAAAATCAATATCATTATCATGGTGGTCACTGGCTCTTTGGTTCTTTAAACTGACAGATGTTGTGTGATTTGTCTTTTCAAAAACACTATAACTGTATGTAATTTAGGAATATACGATTTTTGAAAAAGTATTCCAATTTCTACATCTCAGTAGATTGTGAAAGAAATATGTTTGTCAGAATCTCATACAGATCTATGAATTGTCAAATCTACTTACAACTTCAAACGGGGTATTCAAAAAAGTGAGTTGAAATATACTTAGCAAAAGAAAGCTCATTTAATATTAAAAAAATAACAATCACATTATTTATACATATATTTCGTCGAACATAAAATAATAATTTAATGTCTTTAAAATTCTAAAAATACATATATGAACATGTTTTAAAAACTAAATTTATCATATTGCATCATTAAATTTAGATGTTGTTTAATAACCCAGTACAATTCACTTCTCAAAATCATGTAAGAATAATATGGAAAAACCAGAATGCCAAGGATACTATATTAGAAATCATGTAAATAGTTAAGTATTTGAAATTCATTTTTATTACGTACTAAGCTATGATATGTATATATATATATATATATATATGTTCAAACTATAAATTAATTATTAAATTAAGTAATACTCCATTTAAAACAAGTCCTGGCATTAAAGAATGTTACCACATGAAAGTTATTTGAATTATTTATTAAAAAGTGACACCATACTTTTTTTAAAGACAACTCTGAGTCTTTAGTCTAGAAAGTCGAAAGGTGATCAATTGCAATCCCCCAAAATATATATAATGCCACGACTGGTCACATAGATGGCCATAGGTCAAGTTTAGTCATAGGACAAGTGCGATCATAGAGAAAGTGCGGTCATAGGAGGGTGTCGTGCACGAAGGCGGAGCAAGGAATGGTCGTGAGCACCAAACCCTAATTCTGTTTTCCTGAAGGCAATGGAAACGGCAACCGGGAGGTCACGAGGACTCGGAGCTTGAACCGATCGCGATGGAGGCACTGCGCGAGGTAGAAACCATGGACGCCACAGCCCTGCCTCCTCTTGCCTCCGCGCACGTCGTCGCCATCGCCGCGGGCTTCCTGACCGTGGGCTATTTCCTGGGGCGGACGCACAAATCTGGTGTCGCAGCACCTCCTGTCACATCCGCCGCTGCCGCTGCTGCTACGCCTGAGAAACGGAGGCGGCGTCGGGAGCCTCTGGAAGTGGACCGATTCGCGGAGTCTCACGAGGATTTCAAAATGGTAGGTTAAGTGAGCCTGTGTTTCGTCCGGTTGAGTTTGTGATGGTGCAGCTGTGTCGGGATGGTGTCAGTTTTTCCGAGCCTCGGTCATCGTGCTTCAGGTGCATTTACAAAAAAACATAAATTACTTGGGATAAGTTCTTCTCTCGAATGCCTAGCTGGATAACAGACTGTGGTTTTCAGCGATCAAGATTCTAACCTGCAATGTGGGAACTGTGAAAGCTTGCAGAGTCTAACAGTGATGCCCGTAGCAATTTATGCTTTGCGCGCATTATACTGTTGTATTATCAGCCATCCACTTCGGTCTATTCGAATTTTGAGTACATTGAATTTAATAAAATATAATGTCGGCACGCCTTAGAGCTGATCGCTCTCAGCTACCAGTAGCCTAGACTATAAACCTCGTATTCCTTCAAATTAGTATCATGAATGGAAACATCAGTTAAACGAATTCCTCTTACCATCGACCCAATAACATCTCCTGCTACTCGTGCATTCTGTCGGTGAAATGCATTAATGTTTTAAAGGTTGAGCTCCAGGATTTGTATTGACAACGTGCGTTAGAGTGCTTTCCTGGGTTGATGAGTAGGCTGCACTGACACGGATCACGGTTAACAACTGATCATCTTGCCTGACTGTTAAAATATCATGAGTTGGGTATGGTTACGGGGCCATCCTTATAAAGTTTGTGTGTCTTTGATACCTCTCTTTTCAGATCCCTTGAACCCCATGAATTTGCTTCTTCACCTCGGATACTGTACAATACGTTTAATTCTCTGAACATACACCTTAAACCAGATTGCTCAACCAATTTTTAAGTACTTCCACTTACACAACTGCACAGTCGTGGTTTTCCTTCTATAAATAGGTGCTGGTGGTGAGGAACGACTTGAAAATGGGCAAGGGAAAGATAGCGGCTCAATGCAGGTTTGTTACTCTCAGCCATTTCTTTGTTTCATATAAATCACGTCTCTAAGTTTATGAACCATGTGTTTCTGGCTTTTGCAATTCATGTGGCTCTAAGGATGCATTAATGCTAAGCCTTTATTTTCTTTGGAGTGTTGCAGCCATGCTACATTAGGATTGTACAAGGACATTTGTAACAGAGCCCCCAAAGCTTTACAAAGGTACTCTCCTTAATTTCTCATTGGTAGGGCTTTGTTGTTAAGTAAGCCAATACGCGATACTTAGCTGAAAATTTATATTTTCTTTTCTTACTTGCACTATTCCCACAGGTTGGTTCCTTTTTGCGATCTTCCTTTGCCCTCCTTATGCATGATTTTTATACCACAGTATGTGCTTGGATCCTCAGGTGGGAAAACTGCGGACAGGTGAAGGTGGTCACTAAAGTTGAGTCTGAGGATGATATGCTCGCATTGAAGGTTGACATCCATCATCGTTTTTTTTATCCTTTTGTTTATTTATTCATTTAATTAACAACTGCGAAGTTTCATGTACGATCATCCAGCTTGCCTTCGTAGGGTGTTAGAATTTATTTCATAAGTGTATGGAAGTGGATAAGCTCTTTTGTTGAACTGGGTTTTATGATGTTTGGTCTGAAGGTCAAAGCTAAAGAATCGAAGCTACCTTGTCACATTACGATTGACGCTGGGAGGACACAGATTGCTCCTAGTACGTATCCATCTGGAAACCGACTGAATCGTTGTTTTCATGATGTTAGGTTGTCTCTTCACGTTATTCAACGACATTGTGGCTTTTGTGACAGAATTTAATGCTTGCTTTGTTCTTAGATACAAGCCAGATAGTTCCTCACACTTTTGAAAGTTTTGCCGGGGGAGGGTGATGATCAAGCCGGGTATTTGTGAAACACATTCTCCGTGACGAACTGACTTGGACTGATGTATTGGTTGGTCTTTGCAACGTTTGCAGATTCGAGAACTGTGATGGCAGTCCTTGGTAAGTTACTGGTCGTCTTTAGCAATGATTGAGTAATACCATCCTTCACAATTCTGGAAATGACATCACGAGATGCCGTATGTTTCCGAAGTGACATTAGGAACGTTCCTTTTTTCTACAGGCTTCATTTTTCCATTTTGTGTGGGATTTAATTTCACAGGAAATTGTACGATCTTTGGATTTCGTTGCCGTGTGGTTTGCCTAGTGAAATTCCTTATATTTTACACTGAGTTTTTGCAAACCATCATCTTTTAACTATCTCCTTTTCCCGGTGTGCTAAATTTTCTCTTCTTGCATGCAACAGGGCCTGCTGAACTCGTGGATGATGTAACTGGACACCTTAAGTTGATGTGATTCTTGTATATCATTCCTTGGATTGAGACTTCCATATATCTACGGGCGTAAACAAGCAGACTGGAGAAACTCACACTCGATCTTCAACTCTATTCGAATGGAAGATGTTCAATTTGATCGAGGATTTCCAGATGATGATGTATTCCTCACATGATGCTAAAGATCTAACAGCTTCCATTATTACTAGGTCTAAATGAGAGTGAATGGGTTTGAATTGTTTAGGGTAGACATTTTCGTTTGGCCTTAGCCTGAGACGATCAGGAATAGATTCATTCCGCAAGATATGGGATCTCAATTCCATGTAGAGTCTGAACCGTTGGTGCAGTGCACTCTGGTAATATACTATTGGTTGAAAAATTTGTTACGCATCAGGACATAAATATTGTTCTTCACAGAATGCACTGCTTGAACAATATGCTGCTACTTGCTCCCAATTTGAAACATATTTAATTTTCATACCATACTTGGACTTCTAGGTGTTATTTGAACTTGCATATATAAACCTTATTAATAAAGTCTTATGCTTCCCTTACTGTTATCATAACAACTTGGCAGGCATAATGTTACCTTCAAGAGACATATGTCCATGTTATTTCTTGCTGACGAGCAGATTCACGAAGAAATTTAACGAACAAATCGAAGACGAACTAAGTGATGCAGCGAAACCGGTAACTCGGTCAACTTTAGAAGTAACCGCTTTTATCGCCAGTATTAGTACACTTTTGATTCTCTTGATCTCTGAGGCGGTTGTGGTAGGATTTGTTTCAATGTGAAATGGTTTGATGAGATGCCTTTGAGCCAATTTGCTGGCATGTGCTCTTAGAACCAGAAGTGATGCTGATCATCGGTATGGATGGTGCAATTTTTTCTAATCGAAGCCAGGTAGCATTCAGGTGAGTGTTTATGTAAGCCGGAGGAATATGAGGACATAGTGACGATGACCCTCGGCCTTTACGGATAACGTGAGAGGACACAAAAAACAGATACAGGTGCCCGGAGGGGCACCCTAAGAGCAATTTTGAGCACGGATGGTGACGCAAGGACCTAAGGAGCGTGTGAAGGATGATTGCAGGAGCTAGACGGTCCCAACAACATCAAAATCAGCCTATTGTGTGAGAAGTTCTTCCAAACCCTAATTTCTTCTGTCCACGGAATTGCTTTTTACAAAATGCTATGTTAGAAACAAGTTAGGCTGCTGTTTAGGATTAGAGGTGCTCCTACTGGGAGACACTTCAGCTCATGCGCAATCTCCACCTGGACCACCACGTCCAAGGCGGTACGTGCCTCGCTACATCCGTCTGGTCTTAAGCACGTACCGCCCCAACTTGTCGCTTGAGACCTTATTGCAGATTGAACCGGGAGCGACGTCCCTTGCTCAACTTGTGCTAAAAGGTTTCGCACCAACAAAACACCTCTCCTGCATTGAATTGCAAGAGTGGGTGAACGTAAACCTAGTAGAACCAAATATAGTTATTTCCTGTATCCGGATTTTGCAAAGGGGTTACATTGTATTAACTTTCATACAAGTAGGAGGAGCACAGGCAACCCTGCAGCAGAGCCTGCTGAATTTTGGAGCTCATTTGATCCACCCACATCCCTAAAAGCCCTAATTCAACCCCCACTCTCCACAAGGAATTAGAATACTCCTTTGGATATGATTCCTCAAGCTCGACGATGTATATTATCTATCTCAAAGTTAGGAGCAGCAATCAGGGAAGTAGTTTGGACAGGGAAAAAAGAAGAGTAGACGACTTCCTCAAGTAATCTTCTTTGACTACCAAACTGGATATAATTTTTCTCCAAGAACACAAGATGACCAAAACATTATATGATCAGATGAGAGGCTTAGGGCTATGAAACGGTCACGTCTACTAGAATGAGGCAGTTCTTAAACCCGACACCAAGCAACAACTTTGAGGTATGGCAATCCTCTTAAGTGCCGCCTTACATTTTTCAGTATTAGGATCTAGAATCTTAGTTCCCGACTGAGCGCAGTGGGTTACATGTTCAATAGATGGTAAAGCAGTTGGTCTACTGAGCACCCAACCGAAGGCGGGAACGTCAAGAATTCTGGAACAATATTAGTAACAACATCCCAGAAGCAGATTTGTGGCTGCTTGGTGGAGATTTCAAGATGACCACGAAACCCGAGGATCGCAGCAGAGACACAAAGAAATTATCTATGGACGAACAGAAAGTGTGGGATTTATTGATATTCAAGTTAGGATTCACAGACCCCTGGAACTCAGATGATTTCGATCACCAGAACACGCTAAGATACACATGGTCAAACAAATAGAAAGCCCACCTACTGGCCCACACTCGCTTGGACAGATCCTATGCGGGAGAGTGGGCCGCAACTAGAGGAGGCCAAGTTCGGATTTTGGCAGAACCTTGCACCCTCTCGAATCACTTGCCGGTACAGCTTACTCTCCTCAAATTAAACTGCAAACAATGTACCCAACAATTCAGATTTAATGTTCACTTTCTCAAAGACGCAGCTCCCTCATCGCAATGCAGGAGCAGTGGATGGAGGAACTCCCTCCTTCCGCCTGAGGAAGTAATAGGTAGTCAGCATGGATTGTTTGCGCCATAGGCTAGATTTAGGACTTTTGCCAAATAGAGAGTGCCTCACGAGCAAAGGTCCCAAGAGATAGAGTACGGCAACTCTGATCAATACTAGCCTGGGCGGAACGCCTCCTACAACAACATCCAAAAGATTCATTTTTATAAGAAGCTCATGAAAAAGTACTACATGAGTTAAAAAAAAAAAGTCAAAAAGATTGAAAGGCAATCGACTTGATCGGCATCTGGAAGGTCACAATTTGATGGTCACAATTTGATGGCAGAATGAAAAAAGAGCTTTTTCTTAAGGTGGAGGAGGTCGAATCAAAAGAAGAAATAAAAAAGTATATATATTCAAAAAAAAAAACTAGAATGGCTATTGCTAAAAGATAAGAAAATTAGAGATCCTTGAAACTAAACTAGAAATAAATAAAAAAAATTGACAAGAATGAAGAAGACTTCATTCTTGATCCTATATATACTATCTAGCTAAGGGCTACATAACAACATTCTATAGGACGTCTAATACATGTCCAATTTATAAGACAAATATCTCAACTTACAAGATAAGTTTCTTATACATATACCATATGGTTAACTTCAACTATAAGCAACCAATACTTGTAATATGATGCTAACTTGTTGACTAAGTTTATAATCTATCAATCACCTATAGACACATATAAACGTGAAACCATGTCTCTAAAGCTTCTAAGAAGCTTTTCTAGATGATATTATCAAATTAATCAAAAAAAAATTATTTCTATCTATTTATATTATCTAGATAATTATTAACATAAATATGTATATTTTTGATAATTTTCTATCTTTTTTTGGATGCAAAGATTAAATTCTATATTGTATGAATAATAAATAGGAAGTTGCATCTAGCATAAGTCCATAAATCATAAGCTTGATCAAAAGAACTTGTATTTACAGTTTGGAGTCAATTATTTTGAGTCCTAGTTTTTGAAGGAAAATGAGTGATTTTTATGAGATCTTAGCTTAGTTGGCTCTATCTCTCAGTTTATCTAATCAAATGTAATTTCAAAGTAGGGACCTCATCTTGGTAATAGAACATAAGTGGAAAGCCTAACAAGAGGCAATATACCACAATAAAGCTAGTAAAATCTGGTTGGCAATTAAGTCCTTGTTGGCATGTGAAAATTTGATAGTATTTCAATACACAAGTTTTTTCTTCAAAGATATCAATACTACCTAAAAACAAGTTTTTGTTGAGAAACAAAAGCCTATTTAGAAGCCTAAGTAGTAAGTAGTCTCTCTTGAGCAAGAAAGGATTCATTGTCAACAAGAAGGATTATGCTTGTATTATAGAAAATCTAAGTACACTGCTTAATATTGTCGAAAGAAGCAATACTACTACAAAATAAAGAATATGGCTGTTAAAAAAATAATATGTCAAAAAACAAGTTTGTCTAGCTACAATAGAAATCATGCGGCTAGAATCTTCTGCAATACTTAGTGAAGGTCCTATTTTCTCTTTAATACCTTCTTTTTATTTCATAATAGATGTTAGTTTAGGACTTAAACATCACAAAGCTTCTGCCTTATTAGATTCATGAGCTTCAATTTATTTCTTAAATTAACAATTCATTAAATAGTATAACATATCTTTAATAAAAAAAACTAAATCTGTTTATGTAGAAATCATAGATTATCATCTATTTTCTTTCAAAAATATTATTTATAAAATCCCTCCTATAGAAGTAATAATTAATCATTATAGTAGCTTTGTGATATTTAATATAATTAGATGTCTCTCTAATCTAATTATTTTAGGTCTATCATAGCTAAAAAAGTATAATATTTGAATAAATTAGATTTTTTGTAGTCTTGACTTTTTCAAGAATATAAATAAGAGTTTTATCAATTAAGTAGAAATTAAAAAGTCTAAAGCAATTAAATCCATATTTATAGATACAAGAATTTTTTTGCATGCTGTAAAAAAAAATCATATTGTATTATATATATCACATATATTTCTAATAGTAAAAAGATTTCAAGTAGCATTTTAAGCTAATATTAAGATTATCAAGATGTTTTGGAAAAAAAATATATAAATACTCTTTCAAAGTATTGTTCTTTTAATTACTACATTGAACTTTAAGAATGAGCTCAATTGCCACTTAGACCAATTTAAAATTTATAACAAAATAGCATGGCTAAATTTGAAGAATATATTGATGAGAATTTGGCTAAGAATTTTATATACCATTCAAAATTTCTTATAGAAACTCCTATCTTATTTGTTAAGAAAAAAGATTGATCATTACAAATGTGTATGGAATATTGACGACTCCATAAGATCACCATAAAAAATAGGTATCTTTTATTTTTAATATCAAGACTTCTTGATTAATTGAATCAAGCTAAGATCTATATAAAAATAGATCTATGAAGAACATACATCTTGATATACATCAAAGAAAGAGATGAATAGAAGACATCATTTTGAATCGAGTGTAGATATTTTGAATATAATGTCATATCTTTTGTACTTACAAATGCATCAACTTTTTTTTAACATCTTATAAATAATGTCTTTTGAGAATTTTTAAATGATTTAATTATTTACTATTTAAAAAATATTTTGATCTATTCTAAGAACACAAATTTTTTATTTGTTGTATGTTACAAAAATTTAGAGATGTATGATTATATGTTAAGATAAAAAAATATATATTTCATCTTATTCAAGTTGGTTTCTTCAAATATATCATTTTAAATGATGGTCTTATGATGAATCTTAAAAAAGTCCAAACCTTCATAGATTAAAAAGTTTCAAAAATAATAAGGAATATTCAAATTTTTTTAAGATTTACCAATTACTATAGAATCTCCATTAAGAATTTTTTCAAATTGTAGTTCTATTTAGAGGTTTGACTTGTA